TAAAAACGAATTTTATGTTAAAAAAATTACTCAAAATAAATTTTCTATATTTATTTATTTTTTTTTTATTTATTCATTCGCCTTATTTTTCATATAAAATTTTAAGACTAAATAGTTAACAAATATATAGATAACTTAATAATAAAATAAAATGAAAAAGATGGCCCTTTCTATTGCAGTTAAAAGACAAGTGACGAATTGCCATATTACAAATTTAAATTTAATTACAATGGATCACAAAGAAACCTAACCAAGTAATAAAAAATTCAAAAATCCCAAAAAAAATCAAAATATCTATAACTATCACTTATCTTTCTAGATAAAAATCTATATAAAAATAGATAAAAAATTATAAAAATTTATAATTTACTTATGATAAAAATATAAAAATAAAATTTACAATTTCAAATAGTTTATACATTTCAAAAGTTATTTGATTATACACTTCAAAAGTTATTAACACAATAAATTTTAATCAAATCTTTATTCAAATATAATCTTTGGAATCACTAGATTGTGCATCAAACAAATTTAGCTCAATAAAAGCTCAATTCTTTGGGGTCGAAATAAGATAACCATTTCTTAAGAGTTACTTAAGAAATATTGATTATAAAATAATCATTTCTTAAAAAAACTGACAAACTTCTAACTCTTCTAAGATCCAATGGCAGTAAATTGAATACTTTTAGCGCAATCGAGATATAGAAATGAGAAAAATGACAAAGTCTCGCTCTTGGAACAACTGCCATATTTATGTTATTATATTTTGTAATAGTTTGAGTATTTTAAAAAATTTAGAAATATGTAAGATTTAATAGAAGCAAACTCCTTCTGAAGAAAAATTAAAAACATTCTTGTTAAAAGATTTACATATAAGTTAGAATGAAAACAATGTGAAAAAATATTTAAATGATGTAGATAATCAGTCAGTTGAATTTGTGAAAGTGATTAGGTTTTCTACTCCTAATTCTATTAAAGAAATTATTGCCAATTTTTTTAGTACAAATTAGTCCCACCAATAAAATATCCGATTTTCATAATATAAAATATCTGAATAATCAAGTAGTGTAATGATATAAGATAAATAAAGATGAGATTTTGCAATGTAGGAGGTATACCAAAGGTTTGAACACGCGACTCCAAACTGTAAACTAGAGTATAAATGTGTTAAATGTAAAAGTCATTATGGACCGGGTGAATGCAATATTTATAAGACAAAAGCTAGAAAGCAGCAATTGTGTTGTACTATGTGTGATAATAGTGGTCACGAGAGCCTCATATAGGGGATGTCCTGAATACATTAAGTTAAACGATTAATTCAGTTGATATCAAATATTCAACCCAATTTCGTAAATTGTTACATAAATCCTAATAAATAATTCGCTCAATTATTTATGGCGGAAAGTAATACAATTGAATCTAACGCAAAAGACAACCAATTTGACTTAAGCAATGTTAAAGCAATTTTAGATATGATATGCAAAAAATTAAACACTATAGAGGAGGGAATTAACGGCAATTACAAACGAATTATACATATTTTACGGGATTTATATGGATATTCCAAATAGTGACCTTAAAATTATAAGTTTGAACGTTAATTCTACAGATCCATTCAAAAGGAATATTATCTTAGAAAATTTGTAGAGAATATTCGTGCAGATATTATTTTACTGAATAAAACAAATCTTGAAAAAAATAGGAAGTTAACAATAGAAGGTTATTTTATGATAAAAAACTATCTAAATAGAGAAATAGGTTATAGAGTTACAGCAATATTAATTAAAAACCGTTTAGCATATGATTCTATTAATACTCTAAGAAAATTCAAATTTAAATTTATAGATGCAACTGCAATTTCCCTAAAGTTAAAAAATTGTAAACATTTAATTTATGTTTCGCTGTGCGCTTCATATAATAGTTCAAATTTGTTTGAAAAAGAACTTACTTGCATTTTCAAAACATTAAACTTGGATAAATTACATAATTATTGCTTGTATTGTCGAAGGAAATTTCAATGCGAAACATACAGATTAGAGTAACGTAATAAATAATTATAGGGGAATAATATTTAAATCATAGTTAGACGCTAATAGTATTACGTATAAATCTCGATCATATTAGGGTATGGATCCTACGTACCCAAGATGCGGATTTTTTTAGATCTTTGTATAGCTGATAGTAGAATAAATTTTAAGAATAGATACATTTATATTTGATAGTGATCATAGGGGAATTAGTTTTACACGAGGAATTTATTTATGTTCATATGACAAAGGGCATGATTATGATTTTAACAGGGTTAATTGGGAAAAATTTAGAAACAAATTAGATATGAAATATGATTTAATCAAAAATAGTGATACATCTTTTGTTCCAAATAACAGAAATTTAAGTAACGCAGAAATAGATAATAATTTCACAAAACTGGACACTATTAGCTCGGTAATAGAGAATCAAATCCTTAATAAATAATGTACAGTCACTAATTAAACAGGGCAATAAATAAATTTTGGAAAAACAAAATTAAGAAAATAGTTCCATCGAGAATAAGCAGTAGATAAAAATCGGGTTGATATATTATTAGAAAACGATATTAATTCAAACGAATTATCAATAGAAAAAAAAGGATGTAATATAAAAAATAGTATTCAAGTAGCAAATATACTTAGCACTTTTCTTAAAAGTAGATATCTAATGTACAGAATTTGTAGAGAGAAGTAAAGAATTTTGAAGAAGGTTCATCGGCACTGCGTCATGTTGTTATATTCAGAGATAAGTCAGATCAATTAAATGAAGAAGATACAGTAAATAATTATTTTATTACAAAGGATTATTACAGGATATTATTAAAGGATATTTTTGCAAAACTAAAAAACAAAAAATCTTCAAGAATAGATAAAGTTCCTAATATAATTTTAAAGCAATTTTCTGAAAAAATTATTAAAGCTTATGCTGTTAATAATATTTTGAATAACTGTTACTTCCCAGATCAGTGGAAAACGGCAAAAATAGTTGCAATAAATAGCCTGACAAGGATCCAACGAATCCTGATCATTATAGGCCTATAGGCTTGACATCGAGCATCAGTAAGATTTTTGAAAAAGTTGTACAAAAACCGATTTTCAAATACGTAGATATTCATGCAATACTAAGTGATTTTCAGTTTGACCTCAGACCAAAACATTTCACTCTCCCTGCTATTAATAAATTGGTGTCAGACGTTGATTGGTATGTAAATGATAGACAATGTATTGGTGTACTATTAATAAATTTGTAATTATAACACAATGTGTTGGTGTACTATTAATATGGGTTTCCAAAATATCTAATAAAGTTAATAAAAAGTATGATTACAGGAAAAAAAGTTTTAAGTTGAAATCAATGGTACTAAATCAAGCAAAATATTTAAGATTTAAAACGGTTTGAAATAGGGAACAGGTTGCTCTCCTCTTCTTTTTATGTTACACATTAACGACTTACGGAAACTTTTAAATGGAGCGCAATTGATCTTGTCTACAAAATTTTCAATTGCATTCGCAGATGATATAATTTATGTGGCGAATAAAAAACTTGAACAAATAGAGACAGAATTGCAGGAAATATTTAACGTAGTTCAATGCTATATTAGCTCTTGGAAATTAAGAATTAATTTTAGCAAATGTGACCTTATTTTATTTAGAAATATTTTAAGAAAATGTCATTCTACGGTCCAAAAATGTTGGAAACAATTTCATATTAAGGCTAGTGATGGGACGAATATCTTGCCTTCTAAATTCGTGCGATATTTAAGTATTTACCTGCAACGTAATATGAATTATAATTTACTTGTAGTAAAGCAAAAGAAAAAGTTAGAAAGACATTTTTTATTGCAAAGAGATTTATTCGCAATCATTTCGATAGAAGAAATCATATGCAGGGTAATTCTTTGATATGTCACTCGATATTCCAAAATGAAAAATATCTTAGAAATTCTTTACGTGCGGGGTTCATTCCCCCAGAAACTTTCCCTCTTCTGGTTAGTGGTAGTTTCTTCCAAAATGAAAATAAAATTTCAGTTTTTTACCATATATGCCGGAGGGCAACGGATAAAAAAATTCTTTTTGATCCTGCAGATATACCAAATGAAACTATTAGATATAGTACGGATATTTCATTGGTAGATTTAAATAAAAATGTAAATGGCACGAATATTGGTGGTTATTTACAAATTTAAGATTTTTTGGGCCTAAAGGATTATTCAGAGGGTTATGTATGAATCTAAAATTTAATTGACACGATTTATCCAAATTATAAAGTTTACTGTGGAATAAGTTTCGTTTTTTTGATTCGAATTTATTGCTAAACATATTTATTGTTTTTTAAAACAAAATTTATTAAATAAACTAAATAAGAAACATATTTTCACAAGATTTGTAAAATTTTTTAAAGAGTTAGAACAAAATTTATACACATGATATGTTAGTATAAAAACCACAAGAAATTGAAGCAAAATAAATAACTCAAGATTTTCAACGAAATCCAGTTGTAAATCCTGTCAGTCTAGTGAACACATTTTTCAAATGTCTAGCACTTATCAACCTGTATAAACCCATATTTTTCAAACATATATTGTATATGAAAAACTTTTATGTAACAATAATATCCATATATTATTTTTTTTCGTTATTTTAATTTTTTGTTGAATATACACAAGAAAGGCTCTGAAGTCAAAAAGCTTGTACAATATAATATATGTAGATATGTAGCGAAATAGAAATTGCACAAACAAAAAATATAAAATAATGCAAGAACTTGAAACTAAGAATTCAATAAAAATTTTTTTCACCCATTATTATTTTTCTATTTATCCATACATGTTTCCCAACACATTCTTAAAGAATTTGTCAAACGTCTATTTTACAAACAAAAGTTGAAGCGACCTTACATTTTCTTACTACTTAAATAGGGGTAAAAATTGAAGCACTTTGTTATTTCAAAATGAATTTTTTTTTACTTACTCAAGCTTCTTTCCGAAGCTTCTCTACTCGATGCTCCTCCGCGAGCCATAATAGCAGCTATTGAAAAATCAGTCGCACCCGTCGACGCTGTTGATTTTGATGCCGCTATATTGCCATTACAATGATTTTGTGTTCCTAATAACATTTTCATCCAAAATTCAATTTTGAAAACTAAATTTTCTTTTAGGTTTTGGTTATTATAAACCAAAAATTTTACTTTATTTTTTTGTTTTTAACTTCAACTATTTATTATAACCTTTTATACATTTTGTTTTGCTTAGCTTAATTTGATATAATTTTATCGCATTTATTTTTTTTTACATATTTTAAGAATTTGTACTTAACATTTTTTTAACACTAACATTTATATTAAAAAATCTTCAGTGAAAAAGCACAATTTTTAATACGCGGCGGAAATTTTGACAAGTATTAATAACTTATTTACGTTTATTAAAATTTTAATTTTTATTTCAACTTTTTGTTTTCAAAAAAAAATACTTATGTATATGCGCACAAAATATATTTAACTATGTTTACAAATAATATGTATGTATATATAAATATGTATATTTACAATGTAAGCGTTTTATTATGTCGATATATTTTGTACATATATTTATGGGCATGTGTAAAACCAATTACTAAACATTGAATATTTAAACATTTTCAATTATTTACGTAAGCATTTATATTACTCTATCACATAAATAACACTCGCGTGCTATATTTCATACATTTTTTATTAAACATATTGAGCATTCTCATTTTATTAAAAAACAAAAAAATTTACTACAAAATCTAAACCTGAAAGAAAAAGCCGAGTTTTTCTTATTAAACCAAACAACAGACGCCGTATACACTACCCTTAAAGAATGTAATATGAACTGAAATAAAAATTACGGCACAACCTAATAACACAACAAGAAATAGTTAATAAAGCAACATTGCAAAACGAAATAAAAATCATACACAGCTATGGATATACGTATATGTACAAAGTACGTATATGTGAAATCATTAACTTTACCGTTCAAATTCCCAACACACACAAAATTTAACACAATTGTATCTGCATTCATATAATATACTTATGTTGGAAAATACTCCTCATCATAAAAATGTCTATTCATTATAATATTATTTTTGTAGGAATGACTTTGTCTGTTTTTGGTTGAAAGTGATGACAAACGAAATAATTGAAATAATTTGGAAACTATGTATTTCTTCCGTTTATTTTGATTTACACACTCATACAAATCAATTGAAATTTTTATTCTTTATTATAAGAACTTTAAAACCAGTAGAAAGGGAGCAAAGCCAGGAGTAAAATTTCTTTTAAAGAGATATTTACCAACACACGCACATTCATGTATATAGTCGTATGTAGTACCACACCCTATATGTATGTTACTAGTTGAGTAAAAATATAGTTGAAACATTTATGCACAAAACAAAGATTCGAAATAAAATTTTGAATAAGCAATGGACACCAAAGGCAACTCCCTTTTTTCTTTTATGCCTATATACCTACATATATAATAACTTATACTTTGAGGTATATTTGAAATACTTTTGCAATTTGTTTTAGAAAAACAAATTGTAAAAATAAGAAGTTTAATATATATACAAATACGAGTTCCTATTACGAGGCGTAATTATCATAAAATTTATATCCCTGGGATTTTGTAGAAAAGACAATATGTAGGGACATTTGTTTATTTAATTAGAGTAACATACTGATATGTATATCTCCATATGTATGTATACGAAAAAATTAAAAAAAAGTGAAATCATATCAAAGTACAAAAAGTGCGTAATACTTTGGATTATGTCTTTTACGACAAACTGGCATTTTAAAAAACTACCTATAAATTATCAAGCAAAAACAGTTGCAGCTACTAAATCTCCTAAAAAAATTCGTATTTAAATTACATTTACATATTGTGTAAACGACAAAATTATTGAAATCAATCGAAAATTTCAATTATTAAAGCGCAGTGGCTCAGCATAAACCACGCCTTTCTATTTGTATATGCATATGAAAGTATGTATGTTATCTACGTTAAGCATGTAAATAAGAAAAACCAAAGAATTGTGATTTAGATTGATAAAATAAAGAAAGCTTTTATTTTCCGTGGTGAGTAAAGCTATTTATTGGATATTCATTTGTAAAAAGTGGGGATGTTATGTTAAACGTATGCATGTGTGTGCATACATATGTATGTATTGGGGTATGCACGGTAAATGAAGAATATTGCATTTGATGTCAAACATAGCATTTTCATTACACTATATAGAATTCTTCCGTTATCATTTCGTTTTTAAGATATTCTCTCTTGTTTTTTGCAAAAATATCTATGTATGTATAAAGAAAAGACGCACGATGTCTAGTCGTCCTATTCCTGTTTTTTCATCTACAGTTTTTTCAGAAATTCGTAGATACCTAACGACATTTGCATTATTCAATTGTATAATTATTAAAGTAGGTAATGTAGTATGAAAAGTGTGGATAAAATAAACAGCTGTGTTTTAAACCTACACACATGTAAACTTAAGCAATATTTCGGTAAAGATTTTTGTTTTGAATGTTTCTTTTAAAGATTGCGTAAAATTCAGTAACATCAAAACTAAGTTGCCGTTAGTATTAAGTCGATATCTAATTAAATGTAATTGTATATCCCACAATTAATTTGAAAAATTCCACTAAATAAAGGAAAAATACATTTAGAAAAACAAATCAGTTAGTACAGCTAAAGTAATGGGTTATGTTTAAAATATTGTGTGGGAAATTTAGTAATTTCTTTATTTTGCTGAAATCCTAATAATAACGTATAACATTTTATACAATTTATAGCAAGAATATTTATTTACAAAACAACAATAGCATTAAAAAATGAATATAAGAAATATTGCTGGCATTAGCAAGAATATTATCTAGCAAGTTATTGAAGGATGATGAGATCATTGTGTTATAACGTCCGTAACGCAAGCCCAGATCAGAAACATCAGATTCAGTTAAACTGTTTTTCCCAAACTTTATGACAGATTTTGAAAACGATCCAGTTTGAAAGCATAAAAAATGTCATAATTAAGTTATTTAATATGAAAAGTAAAGACATTTAGCGTAAGTTCAAAAGGAAAATTTGATTTCTTATTCCAAAATATAGAATTGGTTCCAAACCTTAAAAAGCGATTTCAATTATTCAACTTCATTCTGCAGCTTCATCAATGCGGAATTTTTGATAATTGTTTAAAATTTTATATTATAGCCATTTTTGATATCAGTTTTCTACAATATCAAAATCTATATGCAGAAAATAAACCTTTGACAAAGGAATAAATTTGAAGCTAAAGCAGTAAGTTATATAAGTTATAAGTTCTTGTTCAAAAATTTCAAAAACTCAATTTTTTTGTAATTTTAACAGTATATGCTCCAATCCTCGCGTCAACTTGACAAAGTGAAAATAGAAAAGAAAAATAAGAGAAAAGAAACAGATAGAGATATAATTTTTCAAAGTCCTAAAAAGATACAAAAAGAGATATAATTTTTCAAAGTTAAAAGTTTTGAAAAATAGTTAAAAAACTGAAATAATATTAAAATAATTTAGAAGTATTAACTTTTAGGAGTGATTTTTAGGAGTGATGCTTATTTGTGGTTATCTTTAATCACTTTGCAACATTTATTTTCGTTAATATTCGATTTTTTTATTTTCTTAAAATTTAGTATTCAAACTATTCTAGCTCAAGTTTGAAAAATGTTTTATGCACTTAATAAAATAAAAAATTTCTAAGACTTAAAAAAATAATACCGGTTGAATTTCCTTCTATTTTCTTGAGATCACTGTTATCATATATCGGTTTTTACCCTATTTTAAAAAAAGCACCATACAAACTATAAACTTAATAAATTTAATAAAAAACTTTTAAATCGGCATCTAACGAAAGACATAATAAAATTAAATAACTTTCAATTTACAATATGAGACATTCTGCCACGTCACGTTATATTAACGAATAAAAATCTGATGTGGTCAGCGCATAGCCAACCGCAATGTATATTGTCTACTTAAGTAAAAGTGTTACAGAATAATATAAAAATGTCTGATAAATACTTCTTATCAAATTGAGGACATTAGTAAGCTTATACATAACATAGAAAAATGTAAACTTGGCTCATAGTAGAGTTTCGCTTTGTGCTACCCGAATTCCCTGAAATGCTCGTCCGTTAGTTTCGGTAACAACCAGAACTCAAATATCAAATTTCAAGAAATTCCACCAATTCGTTCCGTAGAAATGGTGAAAAATTTAAAATCGGCTCGCAGATCAGTTTTTCAGCCTTGATCTTTCCACAAAATTTATACTTATGTCATTGTTTTTGTACGACGAATTTAAATATTAAATTTTAATGAGACCGATTGATTATTTCTTTTTATATACGCAAAAATGTATATGTGGCTCATAGTAAATGCCCGTTGCTGTTTGGAGGTTTCGCGGACGGTCGAGCTAAGCTTATATATGAAATTTCAAGTAAATCAGTTAAATATTTTCTTCAAAATGGTCAAAAATATAAAACAGTTAGCGGGCCTGTTTTAAAGTGCAGTTTCCGAGCACAAACAAAAAGGTTTATAGCCGAGGCCTGACATATCCCAAACGTTGATCAATCCGTGTCATGGTCGAAATAGATGTACATATAAAATTTCATCAAAATGGGTTCAGCCGAACTTGAGATACACTCGTACACAGACCGACAGGTTGCTTCAATAATGCGCTTACGACGTAAACTTTACAAAGTAATTCACATTCCAAGAAGTTTAGTAAAAGCTCTTGACATTGTACACGCTTTTCTTATACACCAATTAAATAACCAATTATATAAACCAGCATATATTTTCAGAAATAGAGTGCTAGTTACTGAGTTTTTTTCTAAAATGCACCATAAAAGTGCCATGTTTTTAATGATGTGGTAACGTTTGTTAAAAATTAAATTCAAACAAACGTCAAAATATGTATTAATATTGTAAATATTATGCGATGTTTTTAATAATATAGTAACGTTTGTTGAAAAAAAACATTATTGCACAGAACTTTAAATTGAAATTTTCAAACAACCGTCAAAGTATGTATTAAAATTGAAAAAATTGTATTCTAAAATGTATCAATAGCTTTAACAGTTTTTTTTTTACAATGTAAAGGTATAGAAGGCTCTGAGGC